GGCGGGGGCGCGCGGGGCGGCGGTGGGTGACGTGTGCGGGCGGGGGGCGGGGCGGAGAGCTCCGGGTCGTCCGCCCCTTCCCCGGTGTCCGCCGCGGGTGACCCCTCCGGGTTATTTGGAAGCCCCACGGGAAGAGGGAGGAGCGGGCGTGGAAGGTGGTGAGGGGCGGGTGGGGAACCGGTCACGGTCCCGGTGCCTGCGGGGAGAGTGCGGTCGTCGGAGTTTTGCCGGTGGGGAGGGGATGGAGATCGGTACCGGCGGCGTGGAGGACTGCGGCTGGCCGGGGAACGCGGTTCTGTTGCGCTCGAGAAGAAGCCGTGGGGCGGAACGCGGTCCCCGTCCTCGGTGGGGGTTTCCATCCACTGGGGAAACTCGACGTTTCCGTGGGCCTGTGGGGACGCGGAGCCCCCTGCGGCAGTTCTTCCTGCCGGGGTCCGGTGGAATGAAGCGGGCGCTTGGCCTCTGCCCCGGGACCGCTGGAAGAGCGTTTGGTTCCAACCTGGGCAAGACGGACGAAGGCGCGTTGCCGAGCGCGAGAGGCTGCTTGTGACCTGGAGGGCCTTTTCGTTGGGCGTGCGGCGATGTCTCTGTAAGACACAAAACTAAAACACGTGGATGCGTTTTTAACTACTGATGATGGAAGGGCGAGGCGTAGATGCTATCTTGAATTTTGAGGGGGACGTAAAACTTGGATATTCCAGGCAATGTAAAAAAGAAAAAAAGGCATGACTCCATTCTTCAGGACAGTACCTTTCAGTGCATTCAGGAATGAGCACGGGAACAACAGCCTTTCCTGTCAGTTACTTTAACGTTCTGGAATTTTCAGAGAAACATACCTTCAGGTGACAAGTTATAAATTAGGTTTTACTTTCTCGTACTTGGTGTAACTATTGAGTCGTAGTTCATCTTGTGGAGGACAGCATAAAGGTGAAGAGGTGTTACATGTACTGTTGGTGTACAAAAGTTGCATGCACACCAGCTGCTTCTGTGGAATGTATGTGGTATCTCTGTGCTATTGACCTCGCTAGCTGCTGGTTTTTCTTATGGTCGTGCTAACGAAGGCAAACTCTGCTGTAAACCCATGTTATAAAGAAAAGGTAGTCCTGGAGCGGTGTCTGTGTGAAAACAGAGAAGGAAGTTACCATCTTTGAACTGAAAAAAGCTGATTAATTTCTTCCTCCACCTTTCAAAAATTACTCAGAAGGACTTCAGTTAATTCAGCATAATACATTCAAATAATGTAAATTGTTACCTTCTACTGTGACTTTTAAACAGTAATTAAGGCAACGTGTTCTTTTTAATTCTTCATTAATACATGCTTCTATTGGGTTTCGTGGTGAGGCTTTGGTAGCGGGGGCCTGCAGGGGTGGCTTCTGTGAGAAGATATCAGAAGCTGCCCCATATCAGATGGAGCCTGTTTCAGCCAGCTCCAGGATGGACCCACCGTTGGCCAAGGCCGAGCCAGTCAGCAACGGTGATAGCACCTTTCTGATAACATACTTAAGAAAGGGTAGAAAACACTGTGCAACAGCAGCTGGGAGAGAGGAGTGAGAAAATGTGAGAGAAACAGCTCTGCAGACCCCCAGGTTAGTGAAGAAGGAGGGTGGGGGGGTGCTGCAGGCACCGGAGCAGAGATTCCCCTGCAGCCCATGGGGAAGACCACAGCGAGGCAGGCTGTCCCCCTGCAGCCCATGGAGGTCCATGCTGGAGCAGGTGGATGTGCCCTGGAGGAAGCTGCAGCCTGTGGAGAGCCCATGCTGGAGCAGGCTGCTGGCAGGACCTGCAGCCCCATGGAGAGAGGAGCCCACACTGGAGCAGGTTTGCTGGCAGGACTTGTGACCCCATGGGGAACCCACGCTGGAGCATTGTGTTCCTGAAGGACTGCACCCCGTGGAAAGGACCCACACTGGAGCAGTTCGTGAAGAACTGCAGCCCATGGGAAGGACCCATGTTGGAGAAGTTCGTGAAGGACTGTCTCCAGTGGGAGGGACCCCATGCTGGAGCAGGGGAAGGGTGTGAGGAGGAAGGAGCAGCAGAGGGGAATTGTTATGAACTGACTGCAACCTCCGTTGTCTTATCCCCCTGTGCTGCTTGGGGACAGGAGGTAGAAGAGTTGGGAGTGAAGTTGAGCTGGGGGAGAAGGAAGAGGGGTGGGGGGGAAGGTGTTTTCAGTTTTATTGTTCGTTCTTTCTATCCTATTCTGTTATTTATTGGCAGTAAATTAAATTAATTTGCCCCAAGTCGAGTGTTTCGGATGGTGGTTGGTGAATGATCTCCCTGTCCTTTCTTCAGCCCACAAGCTTTTCATCTTACTTTCTCCCCCACCTTGCTGAGGAGCGGGGGTGAGAGAGCAGCTGGGTGGCTGTCTGATCAACCCACCACAATGCCAAAATAGACAGAACTGTGCAGTACATCCATGTAGATTTTTTTCCCTTCTGAGGGTAAAATAATGTTAGAAGATGAGTTTTTGAAATGAGTTTTGGAAGATCAGAAGCAGACAATTCAGCAGTTTTCATTTGAAATACAGTAGTAATCTGCTGAATCAGTTATGTGGACATAATTATTTGCTTAGGCTGAAGATGTGTAATACTAATAATCCATTGTGGTGGTGGTGGTGTTGCTTCAATCTAAACCATTTCCTGGCAAAAGTAGATTTATTCATTATGCAGTTAACCCGAGTTTCACTGGGGTTAAAAGCTTAGGCAAAGGAATCACCAAGGAAGGTGGTTGGATGGCATTGTTTAAAATTCTTGAATCTCTGGTAAACAGTGAAGTTGAGCTAGATTTAGAAATGATTGCCATATTGAGCAAGAAGACATCATGCTGGCACCAAGCTGTCTGTGCTTGCCCTTTCCATGGGATCCTTGCCTGTAGACCTTTGGTTCTGAGTGGTGTTTGTAGTTTGATTCATGACCTGGGGGTGATGGTAGGCAGGAGAAGCTGGCAACTGAGTTTCCTTTACAGCATTGGACATTCTTGTTGAAGGACGATGGCAGTGACAGAGACTGCTGTGGTACCATGAACCTCAGGAGAGGTTTTCTGAACTGGTAACGTTAACTGTGAGTTCAGATCAATCCTCCTTGATGGCAGTTTGTCTTCCCATGCCCTTAAATGGCTTTACTGCCAGTTCTGTATAGCAGCATTCTCTGCTTTTCCCTTTGTAAATAAATCACATAGTGATACTGCCCAAACAGCTTTCCTCAGGTATTTCACTGTGCAATGCCTAAAAAACTGTTGTGCTCATGGGAACAGCTGTTTTCTCCTATCTAGATGCAGTTTTATAGCTTCCTAAGATCAAGAATAGAATCCATGATCTTCTTTTCCTGTTTCCTAGTGATACCAAGAAAACACTATGCTTTTGTAAGTTGACCAGAAAAGCATAGTCAACCCTTCTGAGAGAGACTGACGCCTGTGAAAGCTATGGTACTGACCTTCATGCCCAAACAATGAAGGGGTTAGCCAGGAATTACAAGGCAACAGTGTTCAGTCTGTTCAGAATATGCAGCAGTACAGGTGTGTTAAACAGTAGAATCACAACAAAGAACCCCCCTGGTGACAAGCTGAGATGGCACATCAAAATGCAGGAGTGTCACATTTCAGTCTCCTCCTGCGTGTCTTCCTCTGAAGTATCACACTGTGCTGCAGGATCCAACCGAGAGATGAATCACAGGGCTGGGAGGAGCTGAGGTGGAAACGTCAGGAAGCAGGAGGATGGCCATGTCACAGGTAGTATCTGTTTCTTCACATAACTAAGAGTGTCTAGGAAAAACCTAGCCTTTTTCTTGGGGAAGCTTTTTGTTGCTCCTTTCAAAGATGCTCTTTGCAGTTGGCAGGCTGTGCTGTTACTGTTTGTTAATGAGTTGGTGTTGCCATGGGTTGGATTGTCTATTATGCGGTACCTTTCAGATGATCAGAAAATACTAAGCCATATCCTAATCTGTTACTCTTCTCTGGAAGGCTGATGCAACCAGCAGCAGTGTCTGCAGTGCACTTTATCTTTTCTGATTCTTAGGCAAGTTGTAATTCATCTTCGCTGACAACAGGAAGATAAACTGTGTGAGTTGAACTGTATATAAAACCTGGCTAAGGAAACACCTCAAATCAGATGTTGTAAGCTCAACTGTCAGTCATGAAAGTCACACACACACACACACACAAAATGCCTTTCATGGCTGGCACTCAATGTATTGTTGCATACACGAAAGTGATATAACACTGGAGTCTACTTCAGTTGCATGGGGCAAATCCAGAAATCATTTCAACTACTGTTAACTAAAATTCCATCATGTGCTAAGTTTGAAAACACTCTCAGAGCAGAGAACACACACCCTCCATGTTTCAAAGTGTTAAAACTTGCTGAAGATGTCAAAGTGAAGACTTCCATTTCGTCCTGCCTCTACCCTCCCACCGTCCTGCTGACTTGCTAAAAAACCAACAAAACTGGTAGTACAAAGTGTTTTCTAAAATAACACTTGTATAACTGACTCCTATCTAGATTTATGTTTGTGTTTCAGGCTTCAGGGGAGCTTTTTATGAGATGTATTATTTCAAGCACAATGGTTAAGCACAGTACAAGTGTATTACAATCTTTTGTAAAATGTAATTTAAGCTAAAAGGCAAACAGTTATTA